CCCGCCGCACATCTCTCCATCTCTATGCTAATGCCTGTAATGATCTGAGGCGCGTTGGGATGAAAGAAGAGGAGAGAAACTTGTTCTCTGTGCAGCTTTGTAGTGCTTTCTGTTGTTGTTGCTATAGTAACACAGGCCTGGAACTCAAATTGACGTAGCGCTGCTTATTTGCATGGCAGGACAAAGTGATGCTCTTTGTATACGGGAAAGCTCCGTGTGCAACACACGCATGATCAAGACGCTGTGCAATGACTGCAAACACATTTGTTATCAGTTTCTAAGTAGAATATGAAAAACAAACAAAGACTTTTATGAATACGTGCACGTTTGTATACTTTCACCAGCAGATCAACACACAGCGTAACACAGTGCACATGCCTCAGTCTCTGGCACACAGGAGGCATCCTGAGCAGCTCTGCTTGTTTAATTTTATCATCCATCTTCCCATCTTCACACACACACTCACACACACACACACACACAAACCTGCGTGCGGTCTTGCACTGACTTTGAAGTTCTCCTGGATCGCCTTTAAAGGCCGTCAGTGTTGCCACGGCAGCAGGCAGGTAGCAGACATCAGACTGCTTAGCGTGTTGGTGTGTGTGTGGAGCCTGAGTACTTAATTAGCTAAGAGCCCGATGGGCCACTTGCCGTTTCTCAGTGTTTAACACTAAACGAGGGAATGACTGGCTCGTTACTGATACTAACAACAAGGATAATTTATGCACAAATGGTTCTGTCTGCTGCGTTTAAGCGTGTCCTCTGTTGCAGGGCTGACAATGACACGCAAACAATGAGCAGGCACAGCCATCAATGTCCCTTTGCAATATTAAAGCAGAATACTAAACGCACAAAACTACAAAATTCATTTTCATGCTGACAGAAACACAAAGGACCCACAATAATAACGCATCCTCCAGCTTCGTACAATCTGATTCTCGTGAAAAGATTTATTCTCCTTTTTACAGGCCATTTAAAAAGTGTTCAGCTAAGAGACAAAGCATTCAGCCCATTCCTGTCAACCCTCCCGGCTGCTGCCACAAACAGCTGAAACCTTTGGAGGCGGCCGGTGGCACCGGGGCTCGCCGCGGCCTCGTGTGGCTGGAACCGGAGTCGAGGCTGCAGAACGGGCTGAGCCGGCGTGCTGTTTAATTGTGCAGAACACATTCTAGTTTTGCCAGGGAAACTGTAATCTGCTTGCGGCCAAGTAATATGGTCCCTGTATGGGATTAATTACCCGGTGGAATGCACTGACTGGTTGGTTTGCTGATTGGCTGTCTGCTGAAGTGCAGCCTTTCAGCAGCGGGTGCACATGTAGCTCCGGAGGGAAGGGAGTGATCAAGAGTAAGAAGTTATGTTTAGTGTTATTTAACAATAGTTTCTGTCTACAATAATGCAGAATCTGGTAGCATGAAACAGACGTGTTACATGGCAGAGGCGTTGATATGTTAGAACACAAACATTGAATTGACAGCATTGATTAGGCGTGGCCGCATTCCATTTAGGAGAGACAGCTTCACTGTCATGGTGTTCTGAACGCTGCCTCGCCACAATGGCTAATTGGGGCACTGAGCAATCATTAAAGTTAATAGTTACATCTGTACTTCTGAAGGCTCCACAGCGACCTGAATGAGGAGGAACTGACCACATGGGAAGCAGCAGAACACGCTGACTGTACGGTAAATGTGTAAGCAAAGGGCTGTCAGATGGAGGAACACTGACATTCATCTGGAGCCACCGCTAATTCCTGAGGTCTTTGGCTGCTAAATGCTCCACTGTGCTCCTTTTTACTCAAAACAGCTGCCCGAAGACGGGACTGATGGGAGGGATGAGGCTGAAGCGAGACACTAGAGTCAGAGGTCACAGAGCGCTGAAGGTCCTAAAAACTCCTGCTGCCTGACCGACATGTCAGAGCTTTCCAACATCCATCCATCCTTTATCTACACACCTCTTAATCCTCACCAGGGTGGTGGGGGGCGGAGCCTATCCCAGCTGAGTCAGGGTGAAGGCAGGTTCACCTGGACAGGTAACCAGCCTATCACAGGGCAACACTTAGAGACAGACAACCAAGCACCAGTGGCAGCTGGTGAAAATTTTTGGTGGGGCGGAGGTGCAGTCGGCAAATGACCTTTTATTTAAAATCAGAAATTAGAATATGAGTAACATCAACTATTTACCGGAAAGCAAACTGTCTACCTCTGGAGGATGTTCTCATCATCATCTAATTTAACATTATTAAGACCGACCAGAACTAAATTCCAAAACCATTCATCAGACTTTCATCAGTATTTACAGGATCTATAAAAACTCAAAACACACAACAGAAAGAATGAAAGCACACTGTTCAGGGCTCCAGACTGACTCAGCACCGGTACGACCCACTTTCTCACTGTGTCCCACCTCCCACCTGGTCACACACGGATGACTGGCTGAACATGTTCTTATCGATAGAGGATTTCCTGA